CCCCCGTCGTTTGTTACCGGTCGGGGGCCTGCGCGGCTGGGAGCTGCTTCTCCCCCTCCCCGTCCTCACCCCAGCCGCTGGTTTCTTTTCCCCTCGCCCATTTGCCTTTTTTTCCCGCAAACTGGTGATTTCCAGGCCGGACGCTCTGGGGCTCCTCGACTATTACCTCATGGATGCAGCGTCTCTCCTGCCCGTCCTGGCCCTCAACGTGCAGCCGGATGACTTCGTCCTCGACCTCTGTGCGGCGCCGGGGGGCAAGACGCTGGCTCTGCTGCAGACGGGGGTTTGTGGTAAGCAGAAGCGGGTGCTCCTCGGCCCCTTGCGTGAAACGGGGCTGGGAGAGCGCGCTGTGCCCAGTAATGTCTGCCCCTTCATCATTTCTGGTTACAAGAGTTGGAATCGGGTGTGTTCCTACAAGAGTGACGTTCCCCACGTGCCTGTTCTGTCCTCTCAGGGCACCTGACAGCCAACGATGTCTCCGTTTCCCGGACGAGGAGGCTGCACCAGATGCTCCACAGCTACGTTCCCAAAGAAATCAGGGAAACCGTGAGCGTCACGTCCTGTGACGGAAGGGACTGGGGGCAGCTGGAAGGTGGCACTTTCCATAAGGTGGGTGATCGGGATCCGGTGAAGATAAACCCATCTAGGTCACTTTCCTCCTGTTTCAGAGGAAGACAGCGGCTTTTCCAATGGTAGAATTGTGTAGTTTTCCATAATCTTAAATGCAGAGAAAGAGACGAGACTGAGCCACGTATGGAGTGATATTTCCTCCTGCTGTACCCTCCCTGCAGGATCTGGTGCAATCGGGAGTTGGACCTTTATTTACCTGTGCAATACCCCTTAAAAATCATGTTCTAATCCATCACCTGAAAGGGGTTAAATGTGGGGATGGGATAATTCTTGTTTCTCAGCCCTGTCCAGCCGCGGGAGCTGGGTTTGTTACCCCGGGAGGTGTCACAGCCCGTGGGTGCCGCAGTAGATGCACAGAGTAGCGGCGTTAAACGAGGACACGCGTGAGGGCATGGTGTCACCCGCCGTCTCTGTGTCTGTCTGCGCATTCCCCGAACGCAGAACGAGTTGCAGCTCAGCGTGGGCGCGTGGCTGCACTCGGGCAGCGTCGCCTGGGCGAGGTACCGACCGCTGCTCGGTGCCTGGCAGGGGTGGAGGAGTCAGGCGAGGGGACTCGCTGAGCTCGGCCTGGTGCCGGACCTCTGCTGCTGCAGGTCCTGGTGGATGTGCCCTGCACGACGGACAGGCACTCTGTCACGGAGGAGGACAACAACATCTTCCACAAGAGGCGAACCAAGGAGCGGCAGATGTTGCCCATGCTGCAGCTGCAGCTGCTGATGTGAGTGAGCTCGATGCTGCGTTCTGGTGCTGCTGGCGTTAGGGTGGCAGCTCTCCGTGCCCAGCGCTGACACCTCTTCTGGCTTCATCTGTCTCCCACTGGGAAATGTGGAAACTGCGTGGAGCGTTCTGGAGTGGCAACAGTCAAACGCATCAAATCACAATAAGCGTGAGAAGGTGCAGATGTGCAGATCAGGTGTCCTTGCTGTCTCGAGCAGTAGGAGGTGGGGAGGAGGGTCTAAGGAACGGGGTTGGCATAGCATTGTCCTTTTGTGTGATGATCTCCTGGGACCCGGCAGTCAGCCTGGGAGGATTCCGGGGTGTCCACATCTCCCAGTGGACACGGGGCGCTTCGTCACCCCGTTTTGCTGGGAAGGCTGGATGGGCTGGCTGCAAGCTGGGACGATAGGGAGCAGAGCTTAGAGAGTCCCCTGGCAGCGCTTGAGCTGCGAGAGCCTCTTCCGCTGTACGTACTCGTGTCCCAGTCGCTTGGAGGAGAGTGCAGGATTACTCCTTCCAGCTGCTCTCCGGTAGCGTCTCTCCCGTCTTTAGTGTTTATCACCCTGAGCATCTTTTTGACCCATATTGCCCAGGTCTAAACCAGTCCTCAGGCTGCAGTGATGCAGTGAGACTGCTGAGGCTGGGGAGTTCAAGGAGATTTGCCTCTCGCCTCCTACGAGTTACGTGCTGCCTGCCCAGTTTCGGTGGCTGGGGGTGCCGGCGTCCCGTGACGGTGTGTGTGCTCCTCTCGCCCGCAGGGCTGG